GGTTGAGAAAATAATATAAATAGTTGGCAAAAATAATATAAATAAAACACATTAATCTACAAATATTAAAACACAATAAATATGGCGGATTATTATTATTTTTTCATTTTAATGCAAAATAATATTGTTTTGCACTTAATGAAAAGAAAATAATATAAAATCTTTTAATTAGATTGATTACTGCTGACAACATGGGACAGTCAACTCATTTCATTGTTCGAAGTCTGCTCTCTCATTAATTTCCAGTTGGAACTATCCTCTTGTTTTGATTCTTCACAAATATATTCTTTTTTTAAAAAAATTATAATTATATATTCATCACCCTACAATCTAGGTTCTCGTGACTTGTGTTTATGTGATATCGGGTCATTTAGAACAATTTATAAATAGTTTTTTAATAATGATTTACAAAATACGAGATAAGTACGTGAAAAAAATTTTGTTTAGGCTTACGTGAAACAAGTTTACGAGGGATTTTCACCGTTCTGCCAAACGGGGTCATTTTAAATTAGCCTGATTAAGAATTATCTTGTATTTTTTTTTGTAAATTACAATCAACTTTTTCAACAAAAGTTTACATTTGCTCCTCTAATCCTATTTATAGGGTAGAAGGTAGAGAGAAAAATATTTTTTAGTCCTATTTATTGAAATTTTTTTATATAAATGTATAATTTTATCATTCATTTATTATTGTATTGACTTTATTTGTAAGGGATACAATGTATATTAAATAGAGATAAAATTGAAAAGTTATTAAATTTTATACGAGAGTTAATAAATTTTAAAATTTTTTTCTATATAAAATATGTTAAAAATGACTTATAAATGAGACCAAATGAGTATGTCTTAGAATTTTTTATAATAAATAATTACACAGGTATTCTCGATTAAAAAAATTAAATTTAAATAAAAAGGTACTCCTACGTGGCAAAAGAGCTGGATGATTGAAAATGTACAGTAACTTGATGGCGGCCTTTGGATGAGGAGGGGTGAGAGACCACGGGACCCACTAGAAGGGAGGGAGCAGGGAATCTCTGGAGTCAACGAGGACGTGAGGGTGTTTGGGAGTCGAGATACGACGAAACCGATGAGGAATAAGAAAAAAGGGCATATATTCCGAGCACGGGACACAGCGCTTCAAGTTTTCCGATAAACGACAGAGACAGATCCAACGAATTTAAATATTCTTGGACTCCGCGTTCCGCCGTTCACCCCTCTGACCTCAAAGCCCCAGATGCGTTTCGACTTAAAAAGGCCCCCATTTTTAACCAAACAAAATATAAAAAATTTTTTAAAGAGAAAATCTCAAAATAATATTCTAAAAATTTAAAAAATAAAAGATTGGGGCGATGAATTTCAATAACCTCGTATCAATATATTATACCAAAACAAAAGTTTAATATATTTATGATTTTCTAATATTGTTCTCACCTTTAAAAAAAGAAGCCAACATTCTCTGTTTATAGGCATAGGGAAAAATTTCTGCTCCTCCAATATTAAATATAAGATCTTTTTTGTAGTGTAATATTTAGGACTGGAGGAATATTAATTGTTTAAAGAAGCTCGCCCAAAATATGGAGAATAATTTTTGCATTCTTAATCAACCATTACATGTTGTTTCACCAGTGAAGTTAGACTCTAAGCTGCTTTGTATTTAACTTTTGAATTAATGGATTTCATTATCATTAGTATTATTAAAAAAAGTATTTAGGAAAACTAATAGAAAAAAGAACCTGAAAATCATTAAATTTTAAATTTAAATTAGGCTTGTTTCCTACATTTTAAGAGTTAATTTGAAATGGTTTATAAACAGTTTCTTAATTAATTTGCAGAATATGATGTAAGTATATGAGAGGAGTTTTGTCTCGACTTACATGAAATGTGTTTCTAAACACATAAATAAGCCAACTTTTAATTACAATTGACTACGAATAACTGTATTTTTATAAGAATTCCTGGCTTGAAATTATGCAGTTTTCAAGTTCTCCCAAAATTTACTGATGAGATGTTTTAAAATAATCAAATATAGATGATAATTTTGTGGCCAAAAGTGATTCATTCCAATTGATATCATTATTGGTCACTTCATGAGTTCAACCTCTGCGTTTAATAATAACTACTTTGACAAGAAAAAGCTCAAAGTTGCCAGCCCAACTGTAATCGTAATTATTAAAATTTGATTATGTGCAGCTATGATTTAAGAAAACTCTTTCAAAATCATATAATTTTGTCAAGGTGCTTTTGTCAATAAGTACTAACTATAAATATGGCGTTTTCCATTCAAACTGATTAAAACTATTTATGAAAATTTTCAATCTTCATATTGCAGTTTTTTAAGGAAAAGCTTGATGATATGCTTACAATTATTCAGAATGTGCTTACAAAAAAAAATTATTCAGAATGTAATTTTATGATAATTAGTTAAATAGTTACATTTTTTTTTGAAAAACAACAGAAATAAAAAAAAATCTGTTTGAAAATATGCTTTTATCATGAGTTTAGAAAAATCAAAGAGTTCATCTATTTTTTTAATATTTTGTCCTATAACATCATCTTTTCACTGACGACAATTATGTTAATAGTAAATCAAACATTTTTTTGCCCTTCATTTAAACACATTATTTTATACTCCTTCGATTTTTAATATAGAACCCAATTCTTAAATTGGTTTTGGTTTTAAATATAAGACTTATTTCTCATATTTATTATGGTGTTTTAGGAAAAATGTGTCACTTTTTTTTATAATTAACCAACTTACATAACTTTCTTAATTTAATCAAATGAGTTAAATTGGTCTTATATTAAGAATCGGAGGAGTATATGCTTTTCAAAATAATAATTCAAATAATTTTTTTAAAAAACTTGTTCATAAAAATTACTCTACATAATTATTTTGAGAACAAAAATATAGAATAAAATTAAAAAAACTCTCAAAGGGCATTTTGTTCAAACACTTTTTTTAAAATTTTTTTTCCTTGAAAATGACCAAGCTCCTTTAAAATAATTTTAAAAATTCAAAATTAGTTCAAATAACTCATTCCCGAATTCAATCTTTAAACATAATTTTCCTTAAAAACTTTTTTCTACTTTTGCTCTGCATTAGACACAATTTTTTGAAAATAGAAGGCACATATTTTTTTAAATTTACAAATATGGTTTATACTAATAACATGAACATGATATATATGTTGGAAAAAAGAACATGATAGAGTTTTAAGAAATAGATCAATAATCAACAGTAAATACTGAATAAAATTAATAATCACAAACTATCATTCATTTTGGCCCCAGCACTGCAGGAACCCAGGAGGGTAGCTGTGTATAATAAATAACACACTAAAAGAAAAAAAATCATTATAAGGTCTAAAAATATACCAGACTGATCTTTATTATAAATCATTGGTAAGAAAATTAGGCAAAAAAAAAAAAAAAAAGTCACTTGGAGCACATTTAATGATTGTTTGTTAATTTTACTCTTATTCAGCTCTTGTTAGAAAGAATAGAAAAAGATAGAGGTGAGAATAATTTGTAAATGCATGGAAAGAAAAAAACTGTAATACGGTAAATACAAATTTCAATTTTTTTTATCAATTTAATGTAAAAATACGTTGCAAAGTGATTTTTATTGAGGAGCATAATAATATATTAATCATAAAAAAAAAGTCTCCTAACAAATGTTTAAATCTGCAATGACGTTTCGATTTTGTTCCAGAAAATAATAACAGGTTCAGATGTTACTTACTTCTTAGAAATTTTTTTTATAATTATTTTTTTAATTCTCACAGTAATTTTTTCAAAATAAAAAATACGTATCCATCATTATCCAAATTTGAAATTTCTTGAAAGTCTGTCGCTTTTGTAGATGTCATGTGGAGGGGCGGCCCGGGGAAAATGGCCACGCTACCAAGCAGGCTCCCCAGCTTTTCGCTTTCACGGTTTCACCAACCAACTGAAATAAAATTCTTCTCATGTATTATTAAATTATGATTAAAAATTTAGTTATAAACCATTTTAAACTGGTCTAAAAAATAATTATTTAACTGATAAGTATTGATTTTATTTAAGAAAAAAGAAATATATAGCCTTTACCTTTTAATGTTTATCCAAATTAGTAATGTAAGTTAGTTCTTAAATTTTAACTTAATATAACTCAATCTTCATAATTCATTGAGAGAGCATTTGAATTAGCTTTTTAAAAATGATTTTATATATATATATATATACACGTGAAAGGAATTTTATTTTGAGTTATATTAAAATTAAAAAATTATAATTACTCAGTTGTTAGAGTTAAAAAAAATTATAAAGACTATTTTGAGTAAAATTCACCAACTAAATCGATAATTGAAAAGCGTACGAGGATCTACAGTTGTTTTTCCCAAAAAAAAAAAAATTCCATATAAATATGATAAATTGGGATTATGAGTCTTTTAATATTACCATAAACTATGCTTTTTTTTTTTTTTTTGGTAAAACCATAAACTATGCTTTTGCAAAAGTCATCCCTTATTTGGCCCTTTGCTCTCTATTTAAATTAATTGGAGTTGAGTATTGGTTTGTTTGATATTCATAAAAATCATTAATAAATTTTTAAATATTTTTATATAATAAAATATTCATACTCTATATGTTTATAAGACTCATCCTTATGTTCTTTAATCTTTATCATTACCTTGGAAAAAAAATCTTTATGGTTACAAAATGTAGGAAAATATTTACGACTCATTTTAGGAGATGGGGGAGTAAATTAAAGTTAATTAATTTGGCAAAAAAGTTAATTAATAATTAATAGTTCTATTAACTTATCCAATCTTTAATTTTATGAAATTTCCCAAAAGTAAAGGGTAAATTTTGGCGTCGAAAGGGGGGGAAAAACAACAGTTCGTCTCTTCCTCACTCACACTTTCCCTCTCGTCCTCACACAGATCTCTGCCAAAATGACAGGGTGAAAAAGCTTGCAAAGAGCAACAAGCCAAAACCCAAATTCCATAGGGTTCCTTTCTCTCTTTCTCTTCTTTCTTTACCTTCTTCCATGTCCTACTGTGCTTGAGTTGTCCCTGACTGAATAAGACAAAAGCTTCCTCACTGCACACTCCTCTTCGTCCACCACCCCCATACCCTCTGTTCTATCTCTATCCGCCAGCTCTCTTGCTTTGGTTCCTCCCAATGTGTCACTACAAGCTTCTTTTGGCTGTTCTTCCCCTACCGTAAATCGGTGAATTTTCGTTTCTTATGAAAATGGGGCGAAAGTGTTGGAAAATAGTCACCGGGTCGTATAATTTGGTTTAGTTCTCTCTGCGTTCTGTGCTTTGTTTACTCCTTTACCCTGTGGAGAATCAAAACCTGTGAAGAAAATGAGGAAGCATGGATGGCAACTTCCGTACCATCCTCTCCAGGTGGGTGGGATAATTTTTGCACGATTCGTTTATTTTCTTTCATGGGGTGTTTGTGATATCATTTGACGTGATCACTGTCTTCGTTCAGGTGGTGGCGGTTGCTGTGTTCTTGGCTTTGGGTTTTGCCTTCTATGTGTTCTTTGCTCCTTTTGTTGGAAAGAAGATGTTTCAGTACGTTGCAATGGGCCTGTACACGCCTCTGGTAAGCCGACTTTTTTTATCTTTTTGGCGCTGTTCTGTACTCATTTTGTTTCATTATTATGTTGGTGAGTGGAAGGGATGAGATCTGCAATTGTTGCTTTTGATTCTTGTTTGATTCTATGTATGTGTGATCTTTATCGCGGTTTGAGTTCCTTCATATGGCTAGCTAACTCAGTCTGCTGTGGAGTGCTTTAGCGGTTCTTGATGAGGGCCATGTATTTGCTTGTTACTTGTTATCACTTCACTCCTGAATTCTCTTTCTATAACCCGCCCTGTTTTAATCCAGTTTCAATGTATGCATACTAGAGTCGTATTCGTTGTAATTTCATGGCATTATCGTGATTTCTAATTCCTGTACCCTCCTCCTTTTCTCAGTATAATATTAGACTTAATGGTCATTGCTTTTCAGGCACAGACATGTAATAAATTCTTAAACACAGAAATTGCAAACTGACTTGTACAATTCCAATGTGGACTGAATTATCAATGTTATATTCTTTCCAGAGTGTGCTAACACTGCTGGCAATCAAATCTTTATGTATATAGAAGGAACCCTTAGTAAAAGGATAAACCTGAGTGAAAGTTCCTGTTGATCTAATGACAATATAATTGTGGATGATGTCAAGTTCTGTTTTTCACTGTGGATATGAACAACCAATTGGTTTCTGATCCCCAGCAACATATGCTGCTGGATTGACTTCCTGATGTCAACACTCTCTGGAGTTATTGAACGAGACATCCATGGATTGCAGAGAAAATTTTCTTTGTAGGTGGCAGTTCAAAACTCAGACTAAATCATTTACGTCATGCTGAAGTGTTATGGAACCAGACGGAAAGTAATAACAGTTCAGCGTGTATTCTTACTGAACTTGGATGATTTGAGCAATATAACATTTGAATTTCTGTCATGTTAGCCGAACTGGCCCAAATTGTATTTAAAAATATTCAAGTGGAGGTTGAAACTTGCAGATTTGTTGCTTAGAAGAGGTAGCACAGATATTTTGCTTCCAATTTATTAGCCTGGCTATGTGGGTTTTGATATCAAATAAGCAAAACTTCTGGGGTTCAGTAAGATTTTGTGGAAGCCTATGCTATAACTGTTGTTGAGCTGCTTACTAATATGAATTGTCGGCATGGATCCCTGATCATGAAATACAATCAAATGGTTGATTTGGACTGGATAATCACTAACTCGAAGTGGGAATGATTCAGCCAATTTGTTGGTAAATTTCAGGCTTTCTGTGAACCGAGATGCAGAAACAGGAAACCAATCAGCAATCAAAGATGGGATTATAAATGTCTTTGGGAAGGATTTGGCTTAGATTGGCTAGCCTTTGTTGTCTTTTCGAGTCTTTTAGAGCCTTTCTACCCAAAGGCTACATTTTTCAGCTGAACAAAGCTGCATACTCATGGTGGAAGAACGAAGTTTTTTTTTTTTTTTTTTTTGGGGGGGGGGGTTACAAATAAATGAACACTTTTTTGATCCGTGAGCTGTCAAACATTACCTAAGCTCGGACATTAGAAGTTTACTTTCATTGCAAGAACACATAAATTTGTGGCGTTGATATTGCTCCACATCATTCAGTTATAACTGACCACGATCTTGTATGTTAAGTGCTTGAAGCAATTAATTTGATAAGCATTTTTATTCAGTAATGTAATAAGTGTGCTTTTTATTGTTTGAAGGGAATTGTAACAGAATGGAAGTTGCTTTGCCTTTATTTTAAACTGCATGGAGGACATGACCCGTTTATCATTTTTCCAGTAATATTTCATCTCTTTTTTTCCCCTCCAGATTGCTTGCGTGTTTGGGCTGTACATTTGGTGTGCGGCAGCTGATCCTGCAGATCCAGGGGTCTTTAAGTCCAAAAAATATCTGAAAATCTTAGACAGTAAAAAGCTTGTGGTACAGAAAGATTCTAAACTTGGTGGGCAATCAAGTTCATCAATCAATGATGCAAATACTTCAATTGTTGAAGAAAAATCTGTTGATAAGGAAGCATTGGGCACAGAAGCAAATTTGAAAGATACAGCTGTATCAATAGAGCAGAATGCATCAACACCTCATTCATCCTGTTTAATGTTGGTGTGCTCTCCATGTGCTTTTATTTGTGGGTGCTCTAGTTCAAGTGAGGAGTCCTCTGACCTGCAAAAAAGTGAAGATGGCATGTTTTATTGCAGTTTGTGTGAAGTTGAGGTCTGTGAAATCAATTTAACTTTAGATTTCGTTCATCCAAGGAAAGTTTTAGAGTTCACTTTATGAAATACAATGTGGCTTACTTAAGTAGCTAGATCTATATTACTTCTCTCATGATTAGCCTGAAATGCGTGTACAGGACTTTAAATTATTGAAAGCTTCATCCTGACAATTTTGATTAAGGGAGTTGGCTTCATTGAAGAATGTTATTGTTTCAGGTCTTCAAATTCAGCAAACATTGCAGAGTTTGTGACAAATGTGTTGATAGCTTTGATCATCATTGCAGAGTATGAGAATCTGATTTCTCATTTCTTTCCTTATCATCTGCTATATGATTTTAAGGCCTGTTGTTTCTTGGGTTTTTGCAGTGGCTTAACAATTGTGTAGGGAGGAAAAACTACAGACAATTTTTCACCCTTATGGTTGCTGCTCTCCTCTTGGTAAGCAAGATCGTCCCCCCATGTCTTGCTTATCATTCCTACTGTCATACCCGGCCTTTCCTGTATGACCTGGCTCAGATCCTCTGTGTACAAATCTTATGTTCTTAATAAAATTTTCAATCCTCTGAGATGCTTCTTTAGTCCCCTCATTAAAGTGAAGCTCGTGACATGGTTTGAGTCTATATTCTTATTTGTGCTCTGGATAATAAAGAATGTTCCTTTTGATATATGATTTTAGGTTTTCCCATCGATTACTAGAGTGTGTAATGTGCCTTGGAACATATAGAATTTGCCTATTCTTCTATTGCTTTTGTGTGCCCCTATCTAGAGTCAGATTCTTGTCTTGCTCATAAAATAGTTATGCCATCCTATATCCGTCTCAATTGTTCTTGAAAGCAACAGTCCACAACCTGAAGGCCATCTAAGAAGCCCAGAGTAAGCTTTTAGTTTTCCTGGTCATTTTCATTTTGATTAATTATTGACAGGTATATACATGGTTTGTGCACATTGGGCTTGAGATTGCAGCTTATTCTTCAATGGTCGACTGGAGTGCTTGTGCTTATCCGATGTTCTCTTGAGAGGAAGCAATGTTCTGTGGATATCAGCTCCAAGTTGGGAAGCAGTTTCTCTCTGGTTCCTTATATTATTGTGGTGGTTAGTGTTCTGCACATTTTGTTTTTGGATGTATATTATGTAACTACTGCTATAAAAATGGGTTATCTACTTCTGCATGCTGTTATTTTGGTAGTCGTCTGTGTCATCTTTATGTGTGTTTCTTTTTGAAATACCCATGGCTGCCATTTTTAATAACAGCATAATTTTTTTCACAGGTTGTCTGCGTCATCTTGGCTATGATTGCTACATTGCCTCTTGCCCAGCTTTTCTTCTTTCATATCCTTCTTATTAAAAAGGTAAGCTTCGGTAGTTTCTTGTTACTTTTATCTGATTTTACATTTCAATTCACTTGTGAAGCATTGTTGTTATTCATGTATGGAGCTGCTTTACTGTCTGGGTGAAATGGAGAATGCAATTTCGTGGTGGATGGAATTGTGTGATGTGGCTATAAAGTTCAAGCAGTTGCTTAAGCTTTTAATGTGTTATGCCAGAGTCAACATATAAGAATATCATTATTCCAGTCTTTTTTCTTGCGAAGTTTGCTATTATATTTACACAATGATGTTTTAATGAGCTAATTATTGAATTTGTTGTTGAACAACTCAGGGAATCAGCACATATGATTACATTATTGCTCTAAGGGAGCAGGAACAGGAGCAGCAAGGAGTTGGAGGTCAGCAGAGCCCTCAAATGTCACCTGTCAGTTCACTTACTGGATTAAGCAGTGCAAGCTCCTTTACTACCTTTAACCGTGCTGCATGGTGCACACCCCCACGCCTCTTTGTTGAAGATCAGGTAATTTTATGATCAATGCCAGCTTACTTTCATATGCTTGAACTGCTGAGAGGAAAGTAAAATCTATTATCTATATATTAAGTCTGGAGGTAGCTGCCTTGTTGTGGATGCATGAACTGTATGGCTTAGTTCTTGGGCTACTTGCTGAGCATTTTAAATTTAAATATTCTTTTGCCTCTAGTTTTTAAATTTTGAATCTGCAGGTATGGGTCCTCATGCTGCCAGCACAGGGTCCACTTTTGGTTTCTTTAGATATTGCATTGCATGCAAAAGTATGAGAATAGCCTTCTATGTCTGCTTCATACGTACTTGACTTTCTTGCATGGCGCTTGGCTCTTGATGGGGTGCATTATGAATGTGTAATTCTTTTCTTGGCGGAGTAGTGTGGCACATAATTAAGTGCTGTGTGATGATTTATTACGCACTGCGTTGTTTAACACACCCATGAGCCCAGCGCATTAACAGAGAAATTGCATGGTTTAGCAGTTGGTATAAATATTTTAATGAAAATGACCCATGATTCTGCTTATCTTTTCTTTCCCTTGCTATTAGAATGGTGCCTCACCCTCCTCTAATTTCTTTTTGTTTTTTTTTTTCCGGGGGTGGGTGATAGTTTGATGTAGTACCCCCAGAAACAGGTTCAGTAAGTTCATATGGGAAGAAGGCAATGAGAGAAGAGCCGGTTAAGAAAAAGAACCCTGGAGCAGTCAAAATTAGTCCATGGACATTGGCACGATTAAATGCAGAAGAGGTTTCCAAGGCTGCCGCAGAAGCAAGAAAGAAATCCAAAATCCTGCAGCCTGTGATGAGACAGAATGACGCTTTCAGGCCCGAAACAGACGGCACCTTTGATGGCAGTGGTCGAAGAGTACTCCCCAGAATTGAGAATAATAGAAAGCGGGCAAGCAAGCGGGTTCGTCTACCAGTTGAACTACCTATGGAGTCACTGGCAAAAGCTTCTGCTAGTAATTTTGGCAAAGGCTTCAGTGGAATGTCTAGTTTAGCTCCTCTTCAGCTTGAAGCACGTAATGCATTTCAAACAAGTCAAACGATATCCAGCTCTGCAGGTGGCGTTGTTTCCTCACCTGAAAGCAGCTTAGACTCACCAGATATACATCCTTTCCGAGCATCTTCATCGGGAGCTGAGGAAACAAGAAGGCTAGCAGGTCTTCCAGCTGCTAGTGCAGCGGCTTTGAAGGGAATCCCACTGTCACATTCAACTAGTGATGGGTATGAAGCCTCCGGTGGGGAAGATAGTGACCAGGTACAAACTAGAGTTGTTCAGAGATCTACTACCAGTTGGACTAACGTTCTCTTTGGTGCTGATCAGGATGAGAGGGCTTATAATCCCAAACCATCTTCTAGCCTGGGTCATAACAGAAAGTTGTGACTGATGTTAATTAAAACAAAGCAAACAACCCTTTTGATTACATTGATGGGAAATGCCATTCTTTTGATTTGTGAAGCTAAGGTTTTAACCTCACCATCCTTAACCAACAGCTTTTGGAAATCAAAGCTCGGCCCTGAGAAATTTTGGAGTAACGAATGTACAAAGTTTTAGGTCAGACTTGAGAGGAGTCACAAGGGTATGATTTATGGCAGCAATCACCCCTTGTAGTTAAAATGCATGAAGCATTTTCTTATGGATGATTCTGCTGACTGTTCTGATTTTTGCAATTTGTGAGAAAGACAGGTGACTGTATTAACTATTTACTTCTCTTTTCCCCCCAATCTTTATAACTTTGTTAAAATTATTGGCAAAAAAAAAAAAGGAAAAAAAACTCAGAATTATCTCAGTGATTAAGTACCGAGGTGGCAGGTCTATTCCAATTCCACTAGTTTGTCATTGGGAATGAGAATGGGAAATGAATGAGAAAGGGGTATTTGGTATGTCCATGGAATACTAGTATAATTTTTATTTGATATACTCCTTTCTTTATTTTTACGAGAGACAATTTAGTACTCCTTGGATTCTTAATATAAGATTTATTTAACTAATTTGATTAGATTAAGAAAGTTAGGTAAATTAGTTAATTGTAAAAAATGATATATTTTTTCTAAAACACTATAATCATCTTTCTTAATATCATCTTTCTCTCTTCTACTTGATTATGGTTGAAGGAGTATTCATAGGGGTAGTTTAGAAAAAAAATGATAAATATGAAAAATAAGTTTTATATTTAAGACTAAAATCAACTTAACGATTAGGTCCTATATTAAGGACCAAAAGAGTATAATTTTTATTTGATATACTCCTTTATTTTTATGAGAGACAATTTATTCTTGGCTATAGTTTATTCTTATTTATAAGAGGCATTTAGAGGCTGTGTTCAAATTTTTTTGGGTTGATTTTTCATTTTGTCCCATTTAATTACTTATATTGATACCATTGTATTTATTATCAACTTAAATTGTTTATATGGTAAATTGTCATGTTCTATGTCCCTATAAATAAAGTTTTTTTTTATAAAAAGAATATTACATTTTTTTTTGGCATATATTGCCTCTAATTAATTTTAATCAATTTTTTGGTTAATGTGATTCAATTAATTGTTTTTATAAAAAGAAATAGAGGGAATGTGTAATTACAATAAAAAAACTCCATAGTACTCTTGCCCATGTTGGGGGAAAATAAGTAGAAACAAGAAGTTTGTAGTGGCTGTGGTGATCTAGTCCATGTATCACCGTTGGTGAAGAGGCTGCTTGAAAGGCAAATGAAGATGTGACGGTGGCCAGTGGTAAGTTTTTAGTTTAAGAATCAATTAACTTGATCAGTGTGAGGGAGGAGACTGGATTTCTTAGATTTATTGTAAATTTCTTATCAAGTTTGAGAGAAAGAGAAAAAGAAAAAGAGAAAAAAGAAAGAGAGAAGAAGGATTGAGATTCACTTGCACTCTCCTCTTCTCTCCCCCTCTTTTTATTTCGCTAACTTTATGAAAGAAAAATTACTATGAAAATTTGAAGCATCTAATCTCATGAAAAACATGGCTCGTCTGGATCAATCAGGCCAAATAATTTTTTTTCTTGCAACACCTATAAATTTACTAGTCTGTAACTATTGTATGAGATAAATATAATCTAGGGAAGTACCCAAATTATCTCATACTACTGTATTAATCTAAGCAGGCTCAAAGTATGATCATATAAATCATAAAACCTAAGTGAAAATTGGGTAAAAGCTCTTGACAGGTAATTTTATTGGTGAAAAGGGCTCCATAAATTTTTATACTTTTGGAAATTTTATACCATAGAGTACTATTACTCTAATTTAAGTTATTTCCACCAATAAAATTTTTAATGGGGGACTTTTCGCCAATTTTCTAAGAACTATCATTTGTCTAATGTGAATGAACGAATGGTGTGTGTATATATTTAATATGTATTTCCTCCAATCCTTATTATAAGAATTTTCAATATATTTCATAATATACTATATGTTTTGCTTTAAATATTAATTTTTTTCACTTAATATCTCTAACTAATTATAAAACTTCCTAACTAATTAACCAGACTCCTCTAAGTAATGCTTTTTGAGGGGATAATTTTCATATTTTATAAGAAATAATTAATTTTAACAAACTTCATTATTTTTGTGCAACATTGGTATTAGATTCTTATAATAATAACTGGATACAGTATTGGCAATTTGTAGCTGGGAGTTCAAATCTAGTTTAGTAAACTTTACTAGTAACATGCTTCTGTTCCACTCTTTCTTTTTTTTTTCTCCCCTAGTTTAACAATCTTGTGTTAGTGTTCATGATTTATGTTCTGAAAGTAATCCTAGTTGAAAACAATGATGCTCAAAATATAAACCATCCATGACTTCTGTATATTTAATTTTTCAATTAATATAATTTTTAATCTCTTAAATTTGTATTTGTTTTGGTTTTGATTTCTTCAGTTTCAAACCATAAGTTTTGGCCCTTCAAGTTTTTTTCTTTATTTAAAACATTGGTTTCTATAATTCAATAAAAATATGGATCATTTTGTCTTTTGAGGGACTAAAACCTGTGATTTGAAACTTGAAAAACCAAAATTAAAATGAAGACAAATTTGAGTGACAAAAATTATATTGGCCCTTGAGCAGTAAGATTGCATTAGATGAAAAGTTAAAAATAGGAAATCTTTTATGAGGCATTGGGTCAGTCTAACTTAAGCACAAGCCAGTTCTTCTCAGAAAACCAAAAAAGGGAAAACAGAAGCATGCGAGAAACACATTTCCAAAAACCGAAGAAGAAACCTTTTTACTCATCCAAAAGAAGTACACACAAAAGATTTACCAAGGGGACAACACCCTCTTTATGCCTCTCTCTTTAGAAGCTTGCCTCATTAACACACTTCTTTTACATTAGCACTACAATAATAATAATGATGATAATAAGGCCTAACAGGGATTAGTTTCAAATCTAAAATGATTTGATGTGATTCTGGATTCACACCAAAAATAATAATAATAAGCTTTATCCAATTAAAGAGAAACTGGTAATATGAATAATGTGACATCATTATACTCTATTAGCAATTAATTGTTCAGATAATTCAGACATATAATGAAGGACAGTTTGCTTTTTAAAGTTGAGAATGGATGAAGACAGAAAAAGAACCATCCCCAACTAATCCATACAAGTCACGAGGGGAAAAAGTTGAAATTTTCTCATCACATTTCATCCCATTGAGTTGCTTTATAGTACAGATTGTATGCTATAAGCAGAGTCCAGCCAGCCAGTGTTGTTTTTTTCCTGGAACTGAAAGTGCAGGTTAACTAGCACACAAGCAACATCTTTTTCGTCTTCTTGTTTGATTTGATGAGGGAATATCCCAATGACAGATTCCGTAAAACACAATTAACACATCTATCACTCTTGACTCTTCAATATTATTTCCCAAAAAGAGGATTTATAACAGAATGCTTCCTTGATATCCAATTAGCTATTCAATTAGGCATGTTCTGGCAAAGTGACCAACCTATGGACAGTTTAGATAGTACCAAAACAAAAACAAATGAAATTAGCCCTGAGATGTGTAAATGTTATGTGAACTACGAATCCAACTGGGATTTGCACGACCAGATTCAGGAATGAAAAAACCGTGTTGTCTAAGTTTTCAGTCCCTGTACATTCCTTCATTATGTGGTTAACAATGCAGAAGGTGTTGTTCACAAAGACTAGAATGCTTGATCTTCAGATCCCAGTTGACGATTTGAAATGTATTCTCTATGGTAGTGATAATGAATCAGTAGAGCATTTGTTTTTCCAATGTCTTCGGGTAAAAGACTAATTAATGGGCATTTGTAATTGGATGGGGATCAACAATGTCCCAATGGAGCTTAGCGTGCGGAGAGTATGGTTATCAATAAGATTCTTCTGTGTTTTTTTTTTTTTTTTAAATGCTTCAGACAAATTTTATATGTAGGTATTATTGCAGCAGTGCTCGTATACAAAATGGGAATTCCTCTACTACTCAAATGGTACTCAGTGATAAAGCAATAATTACAATAGGTACTAAAACTTTTAGAGTGTGAATATTATTGTGATAAGGATGCAAGAATCCTTATAATTACAATAATTGGGGTCTGAAAATGAAAACAGAGGCTTCTATTCCTTCAAGAATATGAATTTTGGAAATCCTCCAAACTCTTCAAATTTAAGATAAAAGTGGGGAGCAAAAGAAAAGGGACAGAAAGTATAACATTGCCTTCAGATGACAATCATAATATACACTAATTCACAAGTCTCATATCTTCTCTTTTCAGCTTAAGCCTCTCGTTCTTTGGTGTGATTGTCTTTCATTCTGTATACAAATCATATTCAAGTATAGTAATTATGAAGTCAGAGGTGTTATAAAAAGACCACTAACCTCATTCTCATGGTCACTCATGGATTATTGACACAACATGAGGAACTTTCCCGTCATCAAAGGGCAAGCTGATATAAGTGAATTCCTCAGCAATCTCCTGAGCAAGCTTACCATTAATAACCTTACAGTACACATATAACACAGCATTGGACGCAGTTTTGTGAAGCAGAAGCAGCATGAGGAGAGTGGAGGCTACAACAATTTGAACCACTAAACCCCAGTTCTTCCCTTCATTATTGGAACCTATTGATGAGACAGAATTGGTCCAGACTGAAATCCCAGTAAAAATCACAAGAAACAACAACGAAGAAAGAGCTACTTCTTTCATTCCCTTGATCAAATCCACACTTCGTTTCAACGCCGTCAATCCCCAATTGAATTCCACGACCACAATCACAGACAGTAAGGTCCAGTTAACTTGCAAATTCACCAACACAAACAAGAAAGCTAGCAGAAAAACAGCAGAGAAGCCAATGAAGTAAGGGGAAGAGTACTCGATTTCAACACCAAGGAGCTCAACTCCACGGAGAACCAGAAACGAGAAACCCCCAAATACAAGTGAGATTAAGCAGACTATAACTTGTGAAACGACGACGGTTCCCAATAAGGGTAGGAACGAAGTGAGTATCGACCTAATAGTGCTTAGGAACTTGATGGGTTGACCGTAGAAGCCGTGGAAGACGCTATACGTGATGGTTGCGATAGCGCAGAGTGAGAAGAGGAAAACGAAGAATGAGTAAACAAGAGAAAAGAAGAGTAAATTAGTGTTGATATTGTTGGATTGGAAGGATTGCCAGAGGAGAATGTCGGTGGTGGTGACGAGAGAGCGGAGTAGGCCGCGGTGAAGGGCGTGGTAGCCGATGAGAGAGAAAGAGAGTGAGAGGATGAGGAAGGTGGAGAGAGCAAGGAAGTGACGAGGGTGGGCATTGATGATGCGTTTGGCTTCTGTGAGGACACCCCAGAAGCCGAGTGGTGGTCCTTGAAGTGGCGCCGACATGGCCGACGGCGGCTTTCTCTGCCGGCGATGAGAGAAGGAGAGAATTGGTGAGTAGCAGAGTGGAAGCAGAAGGAAGAAAAATGAGACATGAAAGAGAGTCTCAATGACGGGGTTAGTTATTTAACGATATTTAACTGTCTTGTGGTGTTGCGGATCAAGATCAGGAAAGCGGATGCCGCTCAAGTGGGCAGGAAAAATGATATATATATTTTTTAATGTTTTCGCCAAACTAAAATTTCATTTATAGTAAAAAGAGAAAATTAATATTTAATTATGGTCTGTTTTAGAAATTAAATTTTTGTGTTTCATAAAATTTAAAGATCTAGAGCTTTATGTGGTTAAAATCATAGGAACTGAGTTGTAAAGAGTTAACATTCAGAAACTCAGTTTCATCTGAATCAAAATCTTGGGATTGTGTCACACATTAGAAAATCTTACAATTGTTATGGGGTTTATGAGTTCAAAGGACTCTTCCTCCTAATATGTTAGTCTTTTGGGATGGGTTTTCCCGTTGGGCTTATGCTCATCACATTAGTGTTTTTATTGAGAGTCGGCCACCCAGAAATAGAGTTGTTGAAAGGAGAAATCAAACACTCTTAGACATGGTTATATCAATGATGGCTCAAGCGAACGTTCCAATTTCATTTTGGGGTGATGCTTTGTTGATAGTTGCTTTTATACTTAATCATGTGCCCTCAGAATTAGTTAGTTTCATGCCCTATGAGTTGTAGACAAAATGCAAACCAGGTCTTAGTATCCTGAGAACATGGGGGTTAGCTGCGTATATCTACAACGATTCTCACAAGTATGGGAAATTGGGTTTGAGAGGAAAAAAAAATTATCTTCATAAGATACTCAGAACAATCAAAAGGATATGTTTTCATTGGTGAAAATGAAGATGAAACTATTACTAAAGTTGAATCGAAAGATACAATATTTCTTGAAAATGAGTTTCCCAGCAGGAGAGAAGTGGATCGTATTATATCTCTTTATTAGACATGAGAGTAAAGTGGTGTAGAACAAAATAATGATCCTCAATCATCTCAATATATTAATATGAGTGGGAGTATAAAAGGGTCAACATAAAGACCAAAACAGAAGAAAAAGACAAAAAAACAGCTCTTGTAAGAAGAAGTGAAAGGGAAAGTGTCCCTAAGAGATGCTTCCCAATTGAAGGTGAAGTGCTCATGGTTACTCCAGAGGGAGACAATGAACCACGTTCTATGCAATAGGCCTTATCAGGTCCTAACTGGTGATAAGTAGAAGAAAGCAATAAAAGAAGAAATGGACTCAATAAAAAAGAACAAGGTTTGGAAATTGGTTGATCTACCATAAGGACAAAAAGCTATTAGAAACAAATGGGTTCTCAAGGTAAAAAGAAAAGTGGATGGATCAATTGATAAGTATAAGGTTCGGTCAGTAGCAAAGGGATACACACAATAGAAAGGTATAAATTATGAGGATACCTTCTCACCTGTTGTTTGTTTCAATTCAATAAGACTTATTTTGACAATAATAAATAGTTTGGACTTAGAATTACACCAAATGGATGTAAAAACAGCTTTCCTAAATAGTGATTTGGATGAAGAAATCTATATGTAACAGCTTGTGGTTTCATTAAGAAAAGAATGGAAAGGAAATTTTGTAAACTGAAAAGATCCATTTATAGACTAAAGCAGTCATCTAGACAATGGTATTTAAGGTTTCACAAACCCATAACCTCATATGACTTTAAAATGATTAAAGAAGACCACTGTGTCAACAGAAAGCGATCTGATGGTAATTTCGTGATGTTATGTCTATATGTAGATGATATACTAATGGCTGTAAATAATCTAAATTTGGTAATAGCTATTAAGAAATGGCTATCGTCGAACTTTGAAATGAAGGATATGGGAGAAGCAAAGTACATTCTTGAAGTTAAAATCCACAGAAATCCTTGAAAGAGAATCCTCTCTCTTTCTTTTGACCATCAGAATCCTCTCTCTTTCACATGGGAATTATATTAAGAAAATTCTTGAGCTATTCAATATGAAAGATTGCAATCCCTTAGACACCCTAATGGTTACAGGAGTAACATTGAGTCTTAATATGTGTCTTAAAATAAAGTCAAACAAGAAGAAAATGCAAAGAGTTCCTTACACTAGCGCTGTTGGTAGTTTAATGCATGCGATGATGTGTATAAGAGCAAATATCTATTTCGCAGTTGGATTATTAAGTAGATTTCAAGCTAACCCCAGTGAAAGACATTAGAAAGCAGTGAAGAGAATTTTAAGATACTTGAATGATACATCAAATTATGCTTTGTGTTACCAAGAAAGCAATTTACGTCTAATTGGATACTCCGATACTGATTTAGGCAAAGATGGTGATGAGAGAAGATCCACTTCTAGTTATGCCTTCTTGCTGAATAATGGCGCCATATGTTGGAGTAGCAAGAAGCAGATGTATATTGCCTTACATCCAATGGAAGTTGAGTTCGTGGCATGTACTGTAGTAGTTCAAGAGGCTATATGGTTGAAACGGTTTATTGAACACCTTAGATTTGGAAATGAAAGTACAAATCCAATAATAGTGCACTGTGATAATACCACAGCCATAGCCTACACTAAAGACTCTAAGTATTATATCAAGACGAAGCACATAGATATTAAGTACAATTTTGTGAGAGACTTTTTAGCACAATAGATTATCATTGTACAACACATATCAACAAAATGTATGGTTGTTGATCCTTTGACCAAGCCAATATCAAGAGAATTGTATGAGAAACATGTGAACACGTTTGGCATGCAGAGAATGTAAAATCACAAAACTTATGTAACATGATAATATTTTGAATGCAATTATTATTTTATTACCATTTTATACTTGTATAATAGTATACAATGTATAGTATGTCATACAGGTTGATAAAATTGGCTCTCTCACATGAGCAATTGCCTTTGACACTTAAAAAAAGTGTGCAAGGATGAGACTTGTGCTCACCAGTAAAACAGTAACAAATGCTCATATGGTAAAGAAAAAACATAGAAGTCACCTTGACTAAAATATAAGTGTAACTGGTCGAAATGAGATCTAACAAAAGAACATGTACATGGAATGAATCATGGATGCCCACATTCATGGTGCCTGTAGTCGGACATTAAATTCTTCACAAATTGATATCATATGTGATGAGTAGAGGAAGAATTTAGGTTTGGATGCTAGAAGGATCCAAACTTAGGTTTGTACGGTGCTACTAATAAATTCTAAATCGACATAAGCTCTTATGGTATAAGAGTAACATCGTAGCATGCAATTCATACCGCATGTGCTTAACAAATCTGCAAATGGGAAGTAAATGATAAGATCCCTTTGTCATTGCTGTGTGAGTCCTTGGAAGGTTTAATACTTCCATTGATGTCCTTTGACTTTGACATTAGCATGTAAATATATTTCAGCGTTTGCTACTTTAGCATACAACCCATGATCATGATAGGTGCGATCTAAGGTATTATGCTACGAAAGCGATTGGTATATACTGAAATGATATATGGGCGAAAGGAAGATTTCTTGAAATATACATACCTATGTTGGTATCTAAGACATGTCCCTTATGATTTTGTTAGTTTCATAAGTGTGGACACGATACATACGAGGAAGGCAATTTGAGTCTTATGTTGGCTTGAGAAGGATTAGATTAGCTATCAGAAAGTGTATATAAGTAAATCTAAGATATCCGAGGCATAACAAAATTTAACAGAAATCTATGAGAACAAGCTATACAAAAGAAGGTTGTCTTGTGTTGATCTTACAAAAGAGATTTCTAGTATGAACACCTAAAATAAAGACGTTTTGCCTATACTGTTATGACAAAGCACTTAGTGTGAAAGAAGGAAGCGAAGGTGATCCATAACCATTAATCCACCATGTGTGAGTGGGAGATGTTGGAATAAAACTTAATCCACCCTTGGTGGGTTAGGCCTAAGCCCAAGAAGGCTTGGGGTTCAATTGTAATTTATTAAAAGATTAGGGTCGATATTAGAAGAATACACAATCTTTATTTTGAATTTTGATGGGAACAGTTATTTGTGAGTGGGAGTACGTGCATATCAAGATATATGAATGATGAGAAAAAAATGCAAAGTAACAACTTTTTCTCCTCTCTGATCTCTCTAAAACTCTTACTCTTGTGCATTTACTATAAACCATTAGTCTGTATCCATACCTGTGAACATACTTTGTATAGACAAAAAGCATACCGAATACCATCTCCAGATAGATCCAAAAAAACCTAATAGATATGAAAAAACATAAACGACAACTAGCATGCCCCTATCACCCAAAAAAAAAAAAAACTAGCACACCCAAAACAAACGGCACGTAAATAAGACGAGATGATGATGATGATCATAAACAACATAAACATTATCTAAAGCTAATATTTTAATAAATAATCTTTTTTTTTGTTTGGCACAGTTATCATTTTATTGAAAACAATCATATTTGACACATTATTGGACACTGGATCTATGCACCTCTCCTAAACAGAGATTCAAATATTAGTTCAACATGTTGTAAGAGACTAGTCTATTCTACTAGATATAAATCAGCCTTATTCAAAAGCAAAACAATACAAAACAACTAGGCTTTATTTTTTTTTTTTGGAATTTGAAGAATGGGAATCGAATCCTAAACTTGGTGCCATCAAGAGCACACCTGGTAGATTACTTAGTTTCATTTGTATGAAGTCTTCATTCTAACATATGAAAATCTCCTACGAGGTAAGTCTAATATGTTATATAGTTATAATTCTCTAAAGGCTTTTTCCACGTTGATTAACCTGTCTATCCAGAGGATGATAACAAATTCCCACTATACACTATGTAATTTGAAATCATGTTTGACAGACTAGTTTTAATTTGTTAGCATAATACTAATGACTAATGTTTAGATGCACTCTTTTTGTACTAATATACTCCTATAGTTCTATTTACATAAGGTAAAGAGTAGTTTTTACTTGAGCCTATTTATAAATCACTTTACTAAATTTTTAACATACATATACTATTTTATCTTTCATTTATTATTTTTTTGGC